ATCTTTTCTAATAAAGTTGAGGTTTTCTTACATGATTTACTCAATCAAAGTAAACTAGAGAGAAAGGTCATCAATCAGCAACTTGATTTATGTTTCTGGAGCCAGCGCTAGCAACTAATTAAGAGTTCGACACGCGATGAGACTAGATCCCCAATTTCTAGCGGGCCAGGTCGTCACAAGAACCAGGGCTTATTCTCTGAAAGTTGCTGCTTATGTTTTCGAAATCCGTTCCCCAAAATACACTTTCCATTTCTGGAAAAGAATAAATATGTGTAGTTTTTTTTCAATTCTATTTACATATCCACACTGGGGGGTTACTGGGGTCCCTGATGCCCTGCTGAGCAGACATCCAGGGATTGTTGCGGATGACATCAAGGGCCCACCGCCTCTTGCTCAAAGGTTTACGCTCTGTTCGCCAGTGGTCAGTGCTGATTGGAACCGATATTCTAGTTAGCTATGGTAATCCAATTATTTTCCCGATATTTGCAAATTACAGCCAGGCCTCGATGGAATGAAAACGTATGATGCAGCTAATACTAATAATGGAGTTAACAGTTCGAAAGTTGAAAGTCTGAGGAAGGCTGACCAACTTCGCAATTTTTCCTGTCGGCGACGAACGTCCTCTTCGCACCGCACCGCTCCATGCTTCCAGACCTGGAAGGTAGTCTGTGCCGCACAGCGCTCCTGCGCCGCGGCACAGCCTACCTGCCAGTCGCTATTGCGTTCAGCAGGCGTGGGAGCGGTGTATTGGTGCCAATCAGAACTTGGAACTTCGAAATTTCGATTCTGTACAATGTTCAAATCGATATTTGGTTGGACAAAGGCAGCAGGTCATGGACAACATTGGGAAATCACTTGCTACACCTCAGCATTTTTATGAGGTAATCGCATATATGTACTAACATTGATTGGCAAATAGGAAGCTCAGCTCTCGATATGTGAAACACTTTGGGCTGGTAAAAGTACATTAAAAGCAAATTAAAAACCAGTGTTGAGTGTCAATACATTCATAATTTTCGGATATCTTTGGAGGATATCTGGCCGTTTTATTGAAAACTAGTATGCGGACTCAACACATTTATGCCTTAGTAACCACGTCTATACAGGCAAACCATTCTCCTTCGCGGCACTTTACATCCCAACCTAAGAAGCCAGATTTGGCAATCCAAAATGGTTCACGAGGGACAATGTGGCAAAGGAAGTGGGTCCGGATGCTGGCTCTCTGCCTCTCCTTTCGCGAGGCAGCCGCGGACGGCAGACAAAAGAGTCACTTGGCAGCGGGCGGGAGCGGGCGCCGCGGCGCGGCCAGAGCGGCAGGGCGATCGGCGCGGGGGACGGGCGCAGCGTGACGTATGACAGGATATACTGGCAAGGCCATAGATTGCGATAGGGACGGAGTTGGCGGAGACATTGAAGAATGTTGCCTGTTCAGTGGTCTGCCAGGCGGCGATTCTGTTGGTTCTGGAATATCAGCAAATTTATGTATTTGTTCGATCAGCTATGCAATCTGAATGTCTTGAGCTTGATTTGTTTTATGATCTATGCATAGATGACGGCATCGCTGAAGATTTACGTATGGCTGAAATATTTAATTTTTTGAAAATCTTTGTGGCGAATCTCATTCATATCAACACAAGTACTATAGGTACATTTAGATGACGTTTTTTGGTTTGTAACTCTTGTGTATATTTGTATATATTGTTATTCGTAACTCTGAAAAAATGTATCACTGAAGGCATATTTATTTACAATAGTAGAAATGTTATTATATGGTAGTAGAAAAAGGACAAAAGACACCAGTGCCAGTGCTTCACCATCTCAAATGCCGACGAAGCTATCCATAGACCACAACATATGTGTGGCAGGTAGTGGTCTATGCTCTAGCCATCTATCCCTCTGGCCATTAAACGCCAATTGCTTCGGGCGCATTCAAGTCCATCGTATCTCGACCTTCTCCAATAATTTCTGAAAGAATGTGAAACATTCCTACAACAAGAATCGTTAGCTTGTTTCTCTGCCTCTCCAATCAGACAGAGTGCTTTGTTTCCTGGCCTGTACTTGATAACCATCTGGCCAGAGAACACTGGTAACATGGCTGACTGGACGCCGGCCATGGGCCGCATCTCACAAAGCGAGGCCATTCGCCGCGACTTTGACACATAGTTCTGGGGCTGAATATACACAGATCAGGGTCTCATCCAGACCGATTGGGAGCCGAAAATAGCGCGACACGTCAGCAGCTGGCTGGTTTCAAAATGACGGAACACTTGCCAGTCGAAAAGACAGTGGATAGCCTTCTGCTTTACATAGCACTTAAGCCATGGTTGGAGATACTGGAAACAAACCAACAACGAAGATTGGAAAAAACTAGATTCGCTATCATACGGAACAGCGAATGTTTCCTTAACTCTATTATGACCAGTTAAAAATTGGTGAATTTTGTATTGTCTCGCATACGCAATATTGCCGGCCAGGGCACTTCGACATGAATCTGAGAATGGTCATTTCACGATGGAACCGTGCAAATTATATTGGCGGGAAGTTGCGCCATCCCTAGTTACCTCCTACCTCCGCCAGCGCCAGGTCGTGCCTCATCACGGGCAGGCAGTGCCACCTTGGTGCGCCGGGGAGAACTACAGGTCGCATAGTGCCACCAGATGTCGCGCACACACGACAGGCGCAGATATATGGATTTAAAACGTGGGTGATATATTGTAACAGCGTTGATTTCTACCATGAATGTATTTTAGCAACTCACAGCGTGGGCGCAGGCACTGGAACCACAACGGCTACCACAACTGCATGTAAGTGGGTAAGTCCGACATACGACTTATGTTGGACTCGAGGCAACGCTGCCCAAGCGACCTTTTCCGTTAGGACGCCGAGCGACGGAGTGCGCGCAGCGATTTTTTTTTGTCTCCCCCTGTTCTTTCTAGGGCGTCTTTCAGAAGAGCCCAGGAAGGGGTCAGGGGTCGAGGCCAGCCAATGCCAAAACACCGAACGGCGTGGCTAGCTTAGCCCGGACTCACTTAGCAACCTTAACGCTAATGTTTCCGTTGCGGCAGGCAACATCTCCAGGACCACCGTCGACAGCACGACTTTTTTAACGCTATCCTTTAAGCTGCACATTGAGCCGGAGCTGGGCTGAATTAATTCAACATTTTCCACGGAAATGCATGCCTGAGCAGATTTTGGGGAGTTTGTTCGTTTTCACCAGTTTTTAAAGCACCTCTGATCTAGTAAAAACATCGCGCGCCAATTCAATCTTCCGGCGCCCTTCGCAGAAGGAATGGACGGTCATTTTTCTGGGCTTTGTCTATGTTTTGCAGCGGCGTCAGTTGAGACAAACGATGCTGGCGAACTGCACATTCTGCAGAACTGCCGCCGCTCGGTGTGTGCGTGCGGATGGATTGGGCACAGAATCTCGCCATCTCCTCAGCTATGATGGCTTATGCAGGCGAATAAAAGACGAGAACATTGAAAGCGGTTTATGTGATATATGTGTGGCATTCTGCAGTGGCTGGGTCGGCGCCAGCAGCTCCCGGCGCCTCCCGACCCGCCCTGTTTTCTCCCGGTCAGCCGCCGCGCTCTGCTCCCTCCGCTCTGGTCGGCCCGAGACGCCGCCCGGCGGCTGTTTTCGGGTTTCTAGGCCAGCGCCATTCGGGGCGACTGCAGTGCACAATGACGAGCCGTCTCGGCCGGCTGGAGATTTACGGCCGCCGACCGCAGATAACACTGGGATCACGGCCGCCCCATCCAGGCCGGCACGCCAGCAAATTTCCGTCAACAATCACGGCTATCTATCGTGGCAGGAGCACTTTTGCGGGCTAGCACAGGCCACCAGAGGTGAGCGATGGTTCCAGTTAGCCGCCATCTCGAGTCTCAAAGCCGACTTCTATCTGCTGACTCTGCCCTCTATTAGGGCCATCCAGAGATGAGGAATATCCTATTCCAGGGATGATCACAAGCTGATCAAAAGCGAAAGTCACTTACATTTGTTAATTATGCTGATATAATCTATGCTATTTTATTGAAAGTAATAAAAAGAATGTAAAATCGTGATATCGCTTTTTTTCTTAGTGCTATAAATCGACAGTACCTACCATGAACTGACTTATGTGCTCCTCATGAGCTGCTTTTAGTTCCCATGCTTACTGTAAGGACGAATATCACTTGAGCGATTCTGCAACGTATGAGGAACATTCTTTTTGTTTGGACATTAGTGTGCCACAAGGAAAAGCGATCAATGGCCGTGTCCGTGGCCCCATTCGGTGATTCATTGAGAGGAGAGCTATCGGAACGGGACAGTGGGCCACGTCTGAGACATCCAATCCACGCAAACTAGGTCACACCAGATGGATGGTCACCACTGCAGCGTATTCCACCGGCGGCGGGTCCCAAGAACATCGTTATGCCGGGCCTCCCATTGCATTTGAGCGCCACGGACCATTCACAAATCACACTCTTCACCTTCCCATGCCAAACTATTTTTATATTTATTTCATTTTATCATTCGACAACAGATGCTGCTGGAATTGATGGCTTTCATTCGATAGAAAAATGTTTTTTTTTTTTCGGCAGATATATCCCATTCATACCAATGCACCGGATACAAGCGCCGAGCATGAGTGATTGATTGTCAAATTTGCATTGTTTTTCCTGGAAATTGTATTGCATTCTACGAATAAAATTCATTCTTTGGAAAGCTACCTACAGTTAACAATGCCTAGTGTCTGATAACCGACAAACCCCGTTAACGGGAAAATATTCTGCAGCTGTATGCTTCTGAATATGTTGACACGGTTCTTTACCAGTTAATTCTCTTTCAGGCCTCATTTTGCTCCATGGCAATCAAGACGCTGATTTCAGTGTCGACGTTCGTGGTGCTGGGGCTCATCTGCGCCTACCACGCTCTGGAGGTGCAGGTAGGTGCTGGTGTTGGGGCTGCTTTGGTGCTGGTGTTGGTGGTGCTGGTGTTGGTGGTGCTGGGTTAGTGCTGGGGCTCATCTGCGCCTACCACGCTCTGGAGGTGCAGGTAGGTGGCACTGGGGCTGTGTGGTGCTGCTGCTGGTGCTGGGGCTGCGTGGTGGTGCTGGGGCTGCGTGGTGGTGCTGGGGCTGCGTGGTGATGCTGGGCCGTGTGGTGGTGGTGCTGGTCGTGCTAGGCTAGTGCCGGGGCTCTCTGCGCGTACCACGCTCTGGAGGTCCAGGTAGGTGCTAGTGGTGCGGGCGCTGGGAATTGGTGCTGGCGCTGGTTTCGTGGTGCCTGAGCTGTGCAATCGTGACAGAAGGTGATGGTATTAGTGCTTGGACCGAAAACGTGTCTATTGTTTGAGCGCAAGGCCGGCTCCCATAGTCTTCTCAGCTCGTCTTGTATGTATGTATAAGTAAATTGTTCGTGCATTTCTTGCTCACCACTCCAGACTCAACGCATCGAGACTGCTCGCTTACCACAACCAGATCACCATATATTTCAGCCGTACACTTATAGAACAAGCTTTGTACGTTCTAATTCAATGTATCCACCTTCGAAGTTTCCGCGCATCGTTCATTCCAGCATCTCAGGTTTTGATTTTTTAATTGTTTTAGGCATTTATTGTGTGTGTGTCTCATGCACCAAATGTTTTCATAACCCTTTAATTCATTGTCGTACGTTTCGCGTTTTCACAGTCACTTATTCCATGTATCGTAAATACGCTCCCTTTGTCGTACGACCGTGCATTGTGCATTACGTGCATCGCACGGTCGTGTATTGTACATTACGTGCATCGCACGGTCGTGTATTGTACATTACGTGTATGGCCCGGCCGTATATCCAGCGTGAGAGCGGGTTGGCCGCCGGCCGCCGGCCGTGAGCTACCTGTGAGCTCATTGGAGGCCGATCAATACGAGGCAGCGGGCTGACACAGCGGCGGCGCTCCCGGCGGACGGGCAGCGCGGCCCACCTGCTGCACGGCACAGCACAGCACAACGGCCCAACAGCACAGTACAGCACAGCACAGCATAGCACAGCACAGCACAGCGCAACACAGCACGGCACAACATAGCACAGCACAGTATATACAGCACAGCACAGCTCAGCAAAGCGGTCGACGCTCCCGGCGGACGGGCAGGGCGGCACACCTGCCGCACAGCACAGCACAGCACAGCACAGCACAGTACAATAGAGCACAACACAACACAGCGGCCTATACACAGCAGCGCAGTACAGCAAAACACAGCACAACACAGCACAACACAGCACACCACACCACAGCATAGCACAGCACAACACAGCCCGCGACGGCAAATGCTCTATTCCAAGTCAGGGTGTTACCTCTCAAGCAACAACGATGCGGACGACAATGGGTAAATAATTGATTGACAATCAGCAAAGTCAAGAATCTTAGCGAAATGAATATATTCACAATAACTAGACGCAATGACTGGATATTGGATAAGAGCGGCCTGTGTAAGACGGGTTTTGATGCGAGGCAATTAACTGTAAAACTACACAGTGCCATGGTCCAGCCGACTATGTGGCGTGGGCAGATGACACAGTGCTGATGCCAATGAGCATCTGTGATGAGTAGCTAGTCTACATTGGCTGCAAGCAGCATTTAACCAGTAAATCGCTCAAACCAGTTCAAATTCCACCTGTCCGGCAGTTAAATGTGATTTGTTGGAAGGGAGAGCAGAATGGGCAGTTCAACTGGTCGGATTGAGCTATTCAGCGAACAGGTTGCCCAGTGGATGGATCCGGTCCTGCCCATACTCCCATCGATTGGACTGCCAGGAGCGGCCATTTCGTGCGCTAGTTTCAACTGCCGTCACTGACTTTCTGCGCACGCCATCTTGACAGCCGCCCACACCCGCACACAGCTGCTGACTCCATCTTTTCGTCCATCCATATGGGTGTCTCGGCGGCTGTCCCAGCACAGCGCCGCGGCCGGCCGTTTACATGGCTCCCGCGGCTCGGCCCGGTGACATTTCTACATCGATTTCTGGGCCCTGACACGGGCCGGGCAGCTCAAACATCCTTCAATGAGTCCCGAGAACGGCGCTGGTGCGCGTCATAATCGCTCCGACACGACCTCATAGCACGTGGCTCGGGATCACCGGCGACCATCGCAGCCAAATATTGGTCGGCGCGGTGGGCGCGCGGCGGCTGAATCGACCCCGGGCGACAGGCGCCGGACGACCTCCGTGACCTCGGCGGCGGGCCGGCCGGACCGGGCGCGCCGCGCTGAATATGCAGCCGCCAGAGCACCGGATGGCCTCTGTTGTCATGTGCGAGATTAGAGCGCCCGAAAGAAAGGGAGTTGTCCCCGGGGGCCGCCGGCCGTGCCCGGGAACAGGACCAGCGGCCGTGGCGTCACCGGCCGCGGCTGACGTCACGGCGCTGAGCGGTGGCCGATTCCCGGTCAGTGCTGGACTCCCAAGAGCGGCGAGTTGGAGCCACTGAACGGGCGGCGGGGTGGACCACCGGCCACCATCCGTGCTAATGTTTTGGGCGAGGCGAACCTGGATGATACGCTCCCGGGCCTGGGAATCGGAGCGTGTTTTTGTGACACTGTGCGTCGGTGAAATGTCCTGGTGACACGCTTGTGAGTCGTTCCGTTGGCGTGTCCCGTTGACACGTATCGGTGGTGAATCACCTAAAGTGTCACGCGATTGGTCAATCTATCGGTCATTCTCGTCATTAATTAGCTTATCCATCGTCGGTCGTTTTTGCCATTCGGTTGTCAGTGGGCGATGACGTATGCTGGACGCAGATGCTAGAATAACAGCGCATATCCATTGCGCAATGTTGTTATGGGATGAACGCCGCCTCTGGGCAGCAGCTTATCGCTCCGATAAGGACTCCCCCAGGTCACTATCAACGCATTACGCGTGCGTGAGTAGGCCGCAGGCCCGGTTAGCGCCGTTCCTGTATTCATTGTTTTGTGCAGCTGTCGCGCACAGCCTGGTTCGGCGCCACTCGGCCCAACAATAATACTGCGTACGTGTGCGCGCACGTTGATGAGGTGGATGGCGAGGCCGACCGACGGGCCGACGGTGTGTGTATGTGTGTGCGCTCGTTTATAATCGGTGGGCGGTGTGTCGCCAGTGACGCCGTTTGCCCTGGGTACGACTGTTCAATACGAGCGGCAGACAGTCGGCGCCGCGGTGCCGCCGACGGCGTATGGACGGCCCGCAGTCATTTCCCAGCGCTATCGGCTTCTCACGGCAATGGATGTGATCAGAACCACATCGGGTACGGGTCACCGGGTCACCAGGTCACCGGGTCGCCTGGGTCAGATGGGACGGCGGGGTCGGCTCAGAGTCGACCCTTCGACCCAGGGTCGAGAACGGAGCGAGCCGGGAGGGTGGAGGGACGCGGCAGTCTGCCTGTCTGCTGCGGCCGGGATACATCAGCCTGCCTGTCTGCCAAGGCTGCGCAGTCGGAGTTGGAGTCGGAGTCGGAGCCGGAGTTGGTCGGAGTCGACAGTTCTGCCCAGAGTCGGAGTCGAAGTCGGAGTTGGTTTTTTGAAGTCGGATTCGGAGTCGGAGTCGGAGTCGAAGTCGCAGAAAATCCATCGACTCGGCAACCCTGCTGTGTGCTATAACTAGGACACGGCAGTCTGGCTGTCGGCTGAGGCCGGGACACGCAACCTGTCTGCAGCGGGAGTCTGCGGTGGGAGCCGGGTGCGCCAGCCTGGCTGTCTGCAGCAGGAGCCGGGTACGCCAGCCTGCCCGTCTGTGGCGGGAGCACGGCAGCCTGGCTGTCTGCGGCGGGAGCCGGGTGCGCCAGCCTGGCTGTCTGTCTGTGGCAGGAGCCAGGTGCGCCAGCCCGCCTGTCTGCGGCGGGAGCCTGTCTGCGGCGGGAGCCGGGTGCGCCAGCCTGTCTGTCTGCCGCGGGAGCCAGGTGCGCCAGCCTGTCTGTCTGCAGTAGGAGCCGGGTGCGCCAGCCTGTCTGTCTGCAGTAGGAGCCGGGTGCGCCAGCCTGCCTGTCTGTGGCGGGAGCACGGCAGCCTGGCTGTCTGCGGCGGGAGCCGGGTGCGCCAGCCCGCCTGTCTGCGGCAGGATCGGAACGCCAGCCTGCCTGTCTGCGGCAGGAGCCGGGTGCGCCAGCCTGTCTCTGTCTGCGGCGGGACCGGGTGCGCCAGCCCGTCTGTCTGTGGCGGGAGCCCGCCTGTCTGCGGCGGGAGCCGGGTGCGCCAGCCTGTCTCTGTCTGCGGCGGGAGCCGGGTGCGCCAGCCCGTCTGTCTGCGGCGGGAGCCTGCCTGTCTGTGGCGGGAGCCGGGTACGCCAGCCTGCCCGTCTGTGGCGGGAGCCGGGTGCGCCAGCCCGCCTGTCTGCGGCGATAGCCTGGCTGTCTGCGGCGGGAGCCGGGTGCGCCAGCCTGCCTGTCTGCGGCGGGAGCACGGCAGCCTGGCTGTCTGCGGCGGGAGCCCGCCTGTCTGCGGAGGTAGCCCGCCTGTCTGCGGCGGGAGCCGGGCCGGCCACCATCGACCTGCGCCGATCTCGGTTGTTTATGTGACTTTCAGTCGATCAATCCAAGTGAACCGGTGCGCTGCATTATTGAAGCGCGCCGCTCGGGCCGAACCTTGGAAGAATGGTGGAGCGTGGCCGTCAAGGTCGGCCCGCCTACTCTACCCACGCAGCCCAGAGGCGAACGGACCACTTCTGAATCCACAGCACGGGACTCAGGAGGAAACAAAATGTTATTTAGTCACCAATTCCTTTCCAATCTGGAAACGTCTTTTGTTGGCAACGGAAGGCTCACGAAAAATTGTTTTGCTATGTTGTCATGTGTTCGCAAATGCTGTCATTCTTTGTCACGACTTATGCCCCGTTGAGCTCCGATTTATCTTCCATGGACTCCGTTCTGTATACAGGTCTGTCGGGGTGCCTTTTTGTGCCGTCTACGGTCTAATGTGACGGAAGCCACTCGCTCTTTTCTCTCGGCCTAATGTGACGGAAGTGTCGGTTTCTCTCTCGCTGGACGGCTCCCTTACCCGTCAGCGTCACCATTGACCACTGCCTCGCTCTGTGGCTGGACCGGATGTACTCTTCCTCTATATGTCTCTCTAGTCTCTCTCCCTCTCTCCATCTCTCTCTCTCACTCACTCTCTCTCTCTCTCTCTCTCTCTCTCTCTCTCTCTCTCTCTCTCTCTCTCTCTCTCTCTCTCTCTCTCTCTCTCCCTATATCTCTCATTCTCTTTTTTCTATCTCTGGCTCTCCTTCTCTTTCTTTCTTATCTACCAATACATGTATGTCTCTCTTTCCGTCTCTCTCCTCCGTCCATTTCTCATTCTGGCCCCTTCCCCGTGCGCAGCTGTGCAAAAACGACTCCGACTGGGCCGTTGTCTGTGGCGATTCCTACCGGTGATCGTCGACACAAACAACTCGGAGAGCCTTTCTCCTCAGCGGACCGGCGTGGCGCGGTCTGACGTTTCTCTCCCTCCCTCCCTCTCTCTCTCTCTCTCTCTCTCTCTCTCTCTCTCTCTTTCTCTCTCTATCTCTCTCTCCTCTCTCTCTCTCTCTCTCTCTCTCTCTCTCTCTCTCTCTCTCTCTCTCCCTCTCTCTTTCCCTGCTCCGAGTGCACCTCCCGTGATCCGGTGACGCTGTCACCGCCACCATCCCTCTCCCCTCTCCCTTCCTCCCCTCCCAGCCTCCCATCCTCCCCTCCCAGCCTTCCATCCTTCCTCTCTCTCTCTCTCTCTCCCAGCCCTTCCTCCGCCGCCACCGCCGCCGCGCTGGGAGCCAGGGTCGACGCCACGGCCGCTGTCGGCGGCGACGGCGGCTTCTGATGACATTGCTCGATGTGGAGGCAGTCTGTCGCTATCGACGACCTCCCTCGCGGGACCGGGGCGCCGAAATTCGACGACGACGAGTGTTGGAGCAGGCCGTCGACGCCGACTCCTCAGCCTCCCCGGCCGTCGCCGCCGTCACCAATTCCTTGTCTTGACAGTTGTGTGTGTCTTACCCGGTCCAGTTGGAAATAACTCGGTTGAAACGTGACGCAACGAGGAGTTGGTATCGAACTGACGTGACTGGTAGCCACAAGCAATCAGATGATGAGAGCTGTTTTAGTGGACATTGAAGCCGCCCATAAAATAAACGGTCGTGGAGTATGGCCAATGACTGATGAATTCACAGTAATTAACTCGTCACTCGAGTCTAGTTTTTTCGATAAATCCCCGCAACCGAGGAATCCGTTAATAGTGATCCAGGCTCAGCACGTCAGCATTACCAGTGAGCCCACAGGCCCACTCCACAAAGACCGCTGATTTTTCTGACTTTTTCCCAGCACTTTGATCGAGCCGAATAACACCCTTTGTTGAATTTCACATGTGTCTGTTTTGCCCGGGCAGGCTGGGGATTGCCGGCCCTCTGACAGTGGTTATGCCTGGTGGTTATGCCTTTCAACAAATCTTCAACAACCGTGCTTGGAGTTTGGACTGAAATCACTTCTCTGGTGTTATGTTTACAGCATGCGAATTGTGCATTTTGGTGTGTGTAAAACTGAATTTATGAAGTTTCGCATGCATCGAAGCAAGGCCTCAGAAACACAAGATACCAAACTACGTTGAAGTTTGAATGAACGCTGATGCAAGCGCTAGTTAGAGTTCCGCGATGCGAGGCATTCTTGGCACTGGTGAAACTTCTGCACAAAAGCCAACTAATAGTTCGTGTCCATTGTTCAATTTCTTTGTTATAACTTTGGGAAAGTAGTTGATGCATTGTGTTTTTATCCGAAGCGATGCCTCCTTCGAATTCCTATCACAGACCTCCAATGTGTTGCAGCATTCAACCATGTGAAAATGTGATTTATTTTATGACTTTTTGTGTCATCGGCTTCCAATAGACCAGTCCATAGCGTACCTTGTACAATCCCTGCTCCCCAGTGACGTGCGCCACAGTCAGCCGTCGTCATCACCTGCGCCCTGCACCCCACCCCGTGTCCAGAACCGCTGAACCCGTCGGGACACTCACCCGGCGCCTGACACCGTGCCCTCCTTGTCTCCGCAGCTGTTCATGATCGACAACTGCGCCGACGACTGGCGAATCGCCATGACGTGGCAGCGCAACGTTCAGATCTTCATCGAGCTGCTCATATGCGCCATCCACCCGATCCCGGGCGAGTACTACTTCATTTGGACCACCAAGCTGTCCAACAACGGCAACAGCGGCCGCACGCTCAGCCGCAAGGTGCCCGTCGACGTGACGCTCTCGCTGCCCATGTTCCTGAGGCTGTACCTCATCTGCCGCGTGATGCTGCTGCACTCCAAGCTGTTCACGGACGCGTCATCGCGCAGCATCGGCGCGCTGAACCGGATCAACTTCAACACGCGCTTTGTGCTGAAAACTCTGATGACGATATGCCCGGGCACGGTTCTGCTTGTGTTCATGGTGTCGCTGTGGATCATCGCCAGCTGGACGCTGCGCCAGTGCGAACGGTAAGAGGGCCGCCGGGCCCGGCCGGGCGGTCTGCTGCTGGTGGCGAGGGCCTCGTACCGGGAGCGGGAGGGGGCAGAGGTCAGGGAGGGAGAACGGGAATCGGGGAGTGCGGTGAGGGAAAATGGGACTGGAAATCTAACTCGTGGGACTGCTGGGCTGCAATAGAGGGTTCAGAATCAGTCGGGGAATATCAATTTGGGATTTCTCTGTATTGTGCTTAGAAGTCATTTGTTCGGCCGTGCCTGAGACAATGGGTCGGTTATGATGTGAATGTGTTTATTTCTGATGGCCAAATTCAGTTCGATCTCGGTGTGTCCTTTGTTAGAAAATGTCTAGAGTCTGCTTGAGCGATGGTTAGAATAGTGGCTATAATTTTTGCTTGGTGCAGAACTATGTGTCTCATTGCCGTGTTGGGGATGGATCAAAATCCCATCATTGGCCGAGTCATGGTGAGTGAGGGGCGCTTACACACTCTCTCAGTTGTACAATCTGTTGGAGCCCTGCAGTCGGCCGGGCAGCGGCACCTCTGGACACCGTCCCGAGTGCCAGCCGCCGCTCCGCCGGTCCGCCGGCCGCCGCCCCCTAAACCGGCGCCGGCCCGAGCCGCGGCACAGTAAGCGCCCCTCACCGAGAAATGCTCCGGCCCCGGGCCGCTCAGCTCCAGCCATGGTCATGGCACACGGAACCAATACGCCCAATTCGCCGCCCGGTCACCGGCCAAAACCCGACAGACCCCGCCACCTCGCGATCTCTCGGCTTCATGACTCCCGATGATGGCGAATTTTGAGCCAGCCCGCGCGCCCGCATCCTTTATGGCGTCTCACTTATTGCACGCGCTGACATACCCTTTAGCTTGCTTCCGCCCGCGCCTCTTTTTCTTTCTTTCTCTCTATCTAAACGTTGTCACGACAGCCGTCTCGCCACGGCTTAAACCGTTCTCTTTCCTGCCCTCCACACTTTCCGTCTAGATGTACAAAATCTGCTAGCTGGCGCATGTTGGTGTAGTGCAGCTGGACATTTCAAGCGTAATGCTGACAGTCGGTAGCGTAGCTGTCGTTTGACTTCCCTGACTTGGGCGTATTTGTCTCCAGGTACCATGACCATGACCACGTCAACCTACTCAACTCGATGTGGCTGATAGCGGTTACTATTTTGTGTGTGGGCTATGGAGACATAGTACCCAACACCTACTGTGGCCGGAGCATTTCCGTGGTCTGTGGAATGATGGTAAGTTGGTGCGCGGACTGTCGGCTGACCCGATGTGTAAGTGGCTCCGCCTGTGTTCGACAGATACCACGACGATGATCACGCCAATCTCCTGAATGCCATGTGGCTGATCGCCATTACTTTTCTCTCGGTTGGATACGGGGATATTGTGCCTAATACCTACTGTGGACGCGGCATAGCGGTCACGACTGGTATCATGGTGAGTGGAGACGGCCGGGCCGGCCGGGTCGGCGTGTGCGCACCGCAGCTTGCAGCACCGCGCGTCCCCCAGCGTCACTGAAAGGATGGCCGCTGTCCGTGACTCCCAGCGTCACTGCCCGGCCGGGCTGTCTGTGACTCGAGTCTGACAGTCCGTGACTCGGGTCTGAACGGCCCGTGACTCGGTTTTATAATCCCAACCTACCCGTAATCCAGACCTATCGGTGTCATGAGACAGTGCGTATTGACAAAGACCACCGTGGAATTCCCAAACAGAGTGCACGGCCCCCATATATTATATCATACACTATTCAATTATTCACTTCTTCTTTGGATTGACAAGCTTCGGATCGATTCACGCAAATGGCTGGTCAGGCGCCGTCTGACGCTACACGACTCTCTCTCTCTCTCTCTCTCTCTCTCTCTCTCTCTCTCTCTCTCTCTCTCTCTCTCTCTCTCTCTCTCTCTCTCTCTCTCTCTCTCTTCTCTCTCCCTCTCTCTATCTTCCCATTTCTGTGGCCTGTTTGGATCTCCGGCAAGCCTGCAGCAGCTCATCCGTCCGCTTAACTGGTAGCAAGCTTTTCTGTTCTGAGCTTTTTGCCAGCGCCTCTAACCCATTCGTTTCATCTCTTCCGCCCTTTTTCTATTTTGAAGTTTGTGGTGCGTGCAATCTAATCCCACTCAAAGTGGCTCGTTTAAAATTCTGCCTCGGTGGTTCTGATGACAGCGGTTGACGTGTAATTTGGCAGACGATTTTGCCCGTTTCGGGCTGTCCGGTATGTCCTGAATAAGCTAAATAGGCCTTCAAAGTAAAATCAACAGGCTGGCGACGACGGCCGTGCGTTAGGCATGTAAATCCCTGGATGGAGGAAAAGTGGTAGCAGACTGGCGCCAATCATTTGCAAAGTTTGGCTTAGAAGCTAAAAACAGGTATAAATGAGCTTGTAATTAAAAGAGACAATCAGTATGTACAAATATACATACAAATTCATTAGTGAGCGTTCAAAGTTAAAAGAAAACAATGGTGAATCAACATATTATTTTGCACAACATTAGGTAAAGATAAGGCAGCAAAGTTTATATTTATGCTAATTGTTATTACCAACCGGTTCAGAAATGTGTAAGTGCTGACCATACGTGCTGACAAACAAGCGTTGTTAAGCTGAACCCAGGGATTGTCGCTTGACGTGTCAGAGGCAGGTATTCAAGTAATAAATGGTACAGGCATCGACAGATAGTACCTAAATAAGGAGAGTGCATTGCAAACGCACCTATCGACCGACGACAGTGTCACAAAAACTGCCGGAAAAACATTTATGGACATTTTCAAGTTGGCTAAATGGCTAGGTCTGAAATATTCAGGTCTACATCGAAAAGGCCACATACGAGTACGTACTGTACAGGGTGTTCACTAAAAATTGAGACAAAGTTTAGCAGGCTGTATCTTCGGTAAAAATGTACCGATTTAAACAAACGAGGCATTGTTGTAATGCACATTGCATCTGCTGCAAACCGTAGAGCGTCAACAGATTTGCCTGATTCCCGTAGGTCATTTTTCGGACATTTTCTTGTAAGTGTTTTCACAAGGTCTGGCACCAGTGGACCGTGAATTTGGCCAATTCGTGGCGGTAATGAGCAGCCAGTTGATATTTTGTATCAAATTTAAAGACACCAATATACGTAATAGCCTTCGGCAAATCACATTAGATACTCATTTGTTAATTTCAGTCGTGGCAAATGGCTTATCGGGCCTTGTTTCAATCATGCAATTTTTACATCGGCCGAAGCCCCCAAGGCGCCCCTTGATTAGTGTGCTGGCGCGAGGTCGGACCAGAAGATCACCTTCTGGTTACCTATGTTGTTCTGCATGAACCTCTAGTGCTAAATAATACACTTGACTCAGAAAGTATCATATTGTAAAGGACCGGCCTGGAAGAATAAAGTCGAACTGATGATATGCTCTGAAATAACACACGTACCACGGCATCCAGCGTTAGCTTGGATGCTAAATGGACGTTAGCTCTTGTATCATTGATAACATCACTACAGAACACTCCATTGTCTAGTTAATTGTCGCCCTTTGACAAAAACATGATTTTTCTTCCTTAAATAGATCGGTCTTTTTCTGCAATTTGTGGCCCTTGCTTGACCATTGTTTATTTACTTCTCTTGCCTTATGTATTGTATTGTATTTGTATTTACATTTAAGAGCGATCCACATACAAAGTGCGTGGCGATTACTGCTCAGAATCCGTATCCGCGGTTGCTAATCTAATCATTCAAAACAGTTGCACATTCACTCACGTCAAAACTAGGACAAAACACTCTCAGGACAGCCTCATCGCTTTTACCCACCCCTATCCTATTGGTCAGCGACGATGTGCTGATTCATCGTCCACGATTGCGGCTTTAACAGCGCGGGCGAAGCGGGCGGGAGGCAGCTGCGACAGGTGAGGTGGCAGGCTGTTCAGCAGAGCTGCAGCTCGATAGCCAAACCGCCGCTTGCCCGTTTCCAGCCGTGGACGGGGAAGATGGAAGAAGTGATCTTGTCTGGATGGTCTCTCGCGGATAGCGCTATTAGCGACGAACAGGGCTGCTAGTTGCTCAGGTTCACGGCGCTGTATGACCTTGTGTGCGATGACAAGGGTGTGGAAATCGGACATACCGCGCGGGGACAACCACCCGAGTTTTGTTCGCAGGTCGGAGACATGGTCAAATTTACGGCGGCCGAAAATAACTCTAGCGGCGAAGTTAAGAATTTTTTGGAGTCGATCGAAATTTTTTTGGGACCCATTACCATAAACTGAAAGGCAGTACTGGATACGCGATACAACGAGTGCCGTCACGAGCGTTCGAATGATGCCATCTGGGAGACAGTGGCGCGCATGTGAAAGACCAATCAACAGTCCCGTACACCGGCGGCAGAGTTCAGAGACGTGTGCGTCCCATGACATAGTGCTGTCAAAAGTGACGCCAAGGTTCCCGACTTGTGCGCACGGTTGCAACGCTGCGTTGCGGAATGGTACTCTAAAGTCTGGTAATTTACGAAGATTTTGACGAGTGCCAAATACAATAAGCTGTGTTTTACTTGCGTTCACTTTGAGGGCGTTAGCGCAAAACCAGTCGTTGAGAGACGCGAGCGAGTCCTCCATGCGCGAGATGAGAACTTCGAGGTCCCGAGCTGGACCGCTAACCAATACTTGAGTGTCATCGGCATACTGAAACACTTTTGCGTCGCCTGCGTATAGCGATAAGTTGTTAGAGAAAATGGTGAAAAGAAGCGGCCCTAACGCAGAGCCCTGGAAGACACCCATGGCATTAGAAAGAGGCCTAGACAGCACTCTACGTCCGGATACATCTTTCAAAGACACGCTCTGAGTGTGTCCATGTAGATAGGCGGCGAACCAGGAAATTTCAATGCCGTGTAACATCAGTTTTTGCATCAGAAGATCGTGGTCAATCACGTCGAAACATTTACTGAGATCGAGAAGGCATAGCATTGACAAATCCCCCCTATCAGTGGCGGCCAGGATGTGTTCAGTGACAGACAGCAACGCGGTTTCCGTGGAGTGCCGGGGGCGGAAGCCGTGCTGGGAGGATGCCAGAAGGTGATTATGGGAGAGGTAGGCGTAGAGCTGCTGATGGACAATGCGTTCAACTACTTTCATGATTACAGGAACTAGGGAAATGGGTCGGAAGTTTGCGGGGTCTGAAGGGTTACCAGACTTGAACAGAGGGTGAACTGTGGAATGTTTCCATGAATCGGGGATGTCAGATTGGATTAAGCAGGTATTGATAATATGCAGGATGACAGCACCAATAGCGGGGAATCCGAATTTCAGCATGCGGACACACACGTTATCGGAGCCGCAGGCACTCGAGTTACGCATGCTGAAAATAATCTGCTCGAGCTCCCCCAGTGTTATCTCACGAAGTTGAAAACTGCATGCGCCGACACGGGTGAGACGCACATCCAAATCGGTGGGAGTGTTTTGGGCTCGGATCTCGTCAGCGACACGAGGACCGACAGATACAAAAAATGAATTTAAATCATCGGCAGATAGATCGGGCTGGATGTCTGGGCCGTCCTTCTTCGCGGCTACCACTGACCTGATGCACTGCCAAACTTTGTTGGGGCCCCGCTCCCCAATTTCCCTCCGTATCTCTATTCGCCTGTCTCGACGCACTGCCGCCCGGACTGAGCGGTTTAGGTCTCTGTATTCGCTCGAGTTGCGGCCTAGATGGCGAAGCGCAGCGCGACGTTGAGACATGAGGTTACGGGTGGCGGCGGAGACGGGAGGAGCGGTCGGGTTACGGATAGACACACGCTTGATTGGGGCATGGGCATCAAAAACAGGTACGAAGAACGACAAGAAAGCATGCCACTTGTCACTGACAGTTTCGGCAGAGAAGACATAATCCCAGTCGACATCGAGTAAGTCGTGATACAGTGCAGGGTGATCTAGGCGCTTAAAAGAGCGAGATGAGATAACGGCGGGCTTTTGACGCACTTTCGGCACATTGACAATCACGTCGATGATTTTATGGGGACTGAAGTGACAATAATTAACGCTGGTGTCACACACAAGTTCGCGTTTGTTAACAATACATACATCCAATAGAGAGCCGGAGGTAAAAGTTGGATTTGTTACTAGTTGATCTAAAGAATAATTCGATAAGAAGCTGATCAGATGTTGAGACGCGCGGAAATTCGGCCCCTTCAATAGGTCACAGTTGAGGTCCCCGCAGAGAACGAACGGAACTCTGGGGTAATCGATGAGGACCCGCTGCAGCTGGGCCTCGAGGTCCGTGAAGTCGGCGAGCAGGGCAGCCTCAGAGTGTCGGGGTGGCCGATAAAGGGAGCAGATGATTATCTGTTGGCCCTTGTCCAGCTTCAGCAGCGCCCACTGCGACTCCAGCTTGCTTTCGGAGCTCCCGCTGCCGGGGATCTTCAGTGTCATTGACGTCAAACTGTTTTTAGTGATGATGGCTACGCCGCCA